GCATGCGCTAACACATATTTTGGCATGTAAAGCAAACTGTAGTACAGTAACACAGCCAGATTATGTCCAGAAGGTATCTGCCGCGGTTACCTCATATGATAGGACGTGTTTCCTATTCATGAGAAGAGGTAATGTGTTAGAGATTTACTTTAGAAATATACTCTCTAATATATGCGCTAATTATTGGGTTATTATATTTTTTAATTGTTTTATTCCTATATAAATAAATGAACACTTGGTACATATACTTGGTTCAAATATTTGGTTCATGCATTTGGTCTATACATTAGTTCTGAAATTAGCGTCGAACGTTTGGTTCATGCATTTATTCATATGTTGATTGACCATGTTCTTGATTTGCTTACGTGAACGCCAACGCCGTACGTAGCACAGTGACACGGAACTAGTCTAGAAACAATTATAAACCCCGATTTTTCACCCGATTGAGCTGTGGCCATCACGCTCAAACTTGAAGATCCATAAATCTCGAATTGGAACAATTCGCACGCGTAGCTCGTTCTAGATATTTTGTTTGCAAGGCGGGTATTGCGACCTCGGCCTTGAGGGCTCAACCGTTAGAATTGCTAACGACACCCAACCGCTCGGCCGGTTTTAATATACGAGTTTACTACTCGTACTTGAATCCCGTTCAGATCACTTTCGGGTTCTGTTTGTCGCAGGCTTGACGTGACAGGCCGTGGCAGGCGATAGTGATGGCTAATGGAACGTTTAACCGGGGAGGAGAGATAGTGTATAGTTGTTACATAGTGACCGCCGCTCGCTGCGGTCAGGGCCGGGGCGCAAAATTTTTTTTCCCACTTGAATTCCGGACCACAGCCAATCAGCGCACTCCATTCACTCGACTTCCTCGAAGCAACAATGTAAAACGAATACCCACTATCCCTAACCCTAACCCTAACCCTAACCCTAACCAGTACCCGAACCCTAACACTAACTATAATCTACCCATATATATACGAACCATATATTACAAAACACTATCTATGGTGGGTCCGGAACTCAAGTGGGGAAAAAAATTTCGCGGCCGGGGCATCAACACATTGACGTGTACACACACGCACACGCGCACGCGCACGCCGCACGCAGACAGACAGACAGGCGCGAACGCCGGCACGCCGGCACGCGCGCACGCACGCACGCACGCACGCAGACAAGCACGCAGGCAAGCAGGCAGGCAGGCAGGCACGCACGCACGCACGCACGCAGACATGCAAGCACGCAGCTAGGCAAGCAGGCAGGCAGGCAGGCACACACGCACGCACGCACGCACGCATGCACTGACACGCTGGCACGCAACAACGCACACATGCAGGCAAGCCACACACCCGCACACACGTAGGTGTAACACACAGCTAAACAATGTGTGTGTGTGTTGTGTGTGTGTGTGTGTGGGTGTGTGTATATGTGTGTGTGTGTGTGTGTGTGTGTGTGTGTGTGTGTGTGTGTGTGTGTGTGTGTGTGTGTGTGTGTGTGTGTGTGTGTGTGTGTGTGTGTGTGTGTGTGTGTGTGT